GTCACAGCCACCGCAGCCTTGACCTGCTGGGCTCAGGCGATACTTCTGCCTCAGTCTTCCAAGTAGCTGGAACTACAGGCATATGCCACCATGCCCAGCTAATTTTTTGATTTATTGTAGAGATAAGGTCTCACCAAGTTGCCTGGGCTGGTCTCAAACCTGTGAGCTTGGGCAATTAGGCGTGAGCCACAGCCCTGAGGCAAAATCCATGCTTTTAATACTCATTTACAGATTCAATTCGCTGAAGAACTTCACATTTTATCCTCAATTTCCCACAATTCCTTCTAGTTAAGAATCACATCAGCCCTTTCCTCTCACCATGACAGCTGGCTAGCTTTCTACTTAGAGCCATTAACTCACTGTTCTTTAAGTTCTGCCTGTGCACTCGGTCTTATGACCAGACGGCTAGCTGCTTCAGCCTCACTGCAGCTCAGCCCCTGACCAATGGCTCTGCCCTTTTAGGTCCACAAACCAAGAGAAAACCTATAATCTTAGTAGCAAACTTTCAGGTACATGCTGTTGGGTCCTGGCAATTATTGTTGAGGACTCTCCCTATTCTTTTACTTCCTTGAAAACCCTGTACTGGAATATACATGCTGTAGGATGCTGTGAAGGATGGGCCAGGGACTAAGGGCCCAACAGGTGAGCAGGTTCAACTAGGGAAGGCTCCCACTCAGCCACCAATCACTTCTGAAAGACTGTAATGGTACTAGTCTTAGGTACCTGAGAGTGGCTCAGACCTCATGCCTGTGTTTACTGTGGATGGAAAACAAATGTAATCATCACTACCCAACACTTACAAGGATTTTTAGGTGAGAAGAGATGAATAAACAAAGAGCAAGCTTTAAATAGATTTTTCTTTTTTAGATTAGAAAGCATAGTTTAAGGCCAGGTGTGGTGGCCCAAGCCTGTAATCCCAGCACTTTGGGAGGCCAAGGTGAGAGGATTGCCTGAGCCCACAGGTTCGAGACCAGCCCGGGTAACCTGGCATAGTTTATTTAGAAAGTAAATTAGAGAAAGAGAAGCTTCACCTCCCCAAGGTAGGGGAGGGAGCCAAAGCCAGGAAACATAAAACAACAGGGACACGGCTCCATGATGTATGTAAGAGTCAAGACTGGAAACCATGGGCACTCTGTAAGTTCATGAGTGACAAACTGGAAATGTTCCTTCCTGGTATTGGAATGGCTGCAAGGTTGGCTTGTTCAGCAGGGTAGGGAGACAAAATAAAAAATTCCAATTCCTGGAATGCTCACCTTGTGGGCATGAGGTGATTGTAGTTATAAACTTTCACAAAAGATTTGATCTTTGACCTCTTGGCAATCTTCTTCTTGCCCATCGCAGCTGTCACTTTGCGGGGATAGCGGTCAATTCCAGCCACAAGGGCATGGCTGTAGGGGCGGTCTGAGGTGCCATCATCAATGTTCTAAATGAACAAGAATTACACCAGTTATTCACCAAGGGCCTACTCAGGCCCTGTGCTAGGTGTAGGGTGTGTACAGGAATCTCCCCACCCCAGATCTCCAATACCCATTACCATAAAGAGCGAAAAATCAGTGTTATGCCAGACGCTTAAAGAGGAAAATGACAGCATTGACTTTCACCAGGAAACACCTGGGAAGCCTCATGGGCAGTGCGAGATTGAACAATAACAAGTTAACACTGTGGAGTACTTCCTGCAGGCCAAGCACTGTTCTTAGGACTTTACATTAACCCACTTCCTCCATGATTTCCACTGCTAGCAGAGGGTAGAGTCAGGACTCTCACACCAGCCCCCTACATTTCAGGGACCAGTCTCAGGAATCGGAGTGCTCCCGTGTCCCCACAACAGCAAAACCCAGTGGCATATGTGGCCAGAGCCTAAGGAAATCTTCCAAAGAGGCTACAAAAACGTAGGCAGGAGGCAAATAACGAAAAGACGGAATATGGTAAGTGGCCGTTTTGGCTAAAAGAGATTTCTCGTCGCCTTATAGAATCCCAGCTGCAGCACCTACTACCTGTTTGACCTCAGACTTGCACATGACAACACCAGGCAGGCAGTGCTAGGCACCTAGCAAGCATTTGATAGCTGTCGGCAGTCACTATGTAAAGCCTCCGTGGTGGAGAACGCTTTATGCGTTAGGAGCCCAACACCATTCACATCTGTTGACTTTCCATCTTCTTGCTCTTACGCATCCACCGCTACCCCTATGGTGCTCGCAGGCTACCGACCCATAGGTAGGTCTAGAATTCCAAGCCTGCCCACCTCCCGCAGCCGGTCTGGTCCTGGGGTGCAGGGGCCCGAGAGGCTGATACCTTCACGATGACGGCTTTGCGTCCGGAATAACGTCCGGCCAGGACCAGCACCACCTTCCCGGGCTTCATGAACTTGCCCATTTCTGCAGGGAAAAAGGATAAGGAGCCGCTGAGAAGAAACCCGGAAAGCCGAAGACCCCCTGAGTCGACGCCTCCCGGCAAGTCCAAGTCAGGCCCAGAATTTCAAACTGTGTTCACTGTCGCCTTGGCCTAGGCCACCCGCAGACTCTGCTCACAGGACAAGATCGGTTTCGTAGCCGCCGGGGACCTAAGGACGGAATGTACCTGGCGCCGCCCGACACCCAACCCTCAGGTCGCGGATGGCGAAGGATTGGAATACCAAACCCGAACTTCTACTCACCTACGGCAATCACCCAGGCAAACAGCAGAAAGGAAGAAAGGGCACTTCCGCTAACCTTTCACCCCGGGGAGACGTGATCTCACTTCCGGTCCCACTCCCGAGGCCTCGGTACTCTGCTTATGTGAAGCTCTGAATATGTGTTGCGGGCGGAAGAAGCTCATGAGGGGAAAACAAGGCCGGGTTCCTCATTTATTTGAATCAAACTTTATTAGCAGCACCAGCAGTAAACAGGAGCAAAGGAATCTTGCGGCAGTGTACGGAAGGAAGAGCCGGGAGGGCGCGTGCGCGCGCACTTCAGACGCCAGCTCTGCTTTCTTGTAAGTTCCCTTCTCTGGCGCTAGGGGGGAACACAATCAAATTTATTTTTGCTTTGGGAGACAAGGGACAAAACAGAACATTTACTGGTGCCTGTCGATTGCAACGTTAGGTTAAAGAGGTAAAGAAGATCAAACAAGGTCATTTGTTCCCAGTATTTAGAGTCTAGTGGTGTCACAGACATCGCCAACGAGAATAAGCATGAGGGACGTGGAGGATAGCAGCTGCTTACCCTGTGCCAGGTAGAGTCGATCTCTATGTACATCATCGGATTTGGTTTTCATAACAACAGTAGTAGGTTGGTACATTATTATTTGCCTTCTGCAGTTAGAGGGATTAATGTGGCCCAAGTCTACAGTAAGTGGCGGAGGTGGGACTCAGCCTCAAGCAGTCCAACTCCTAAGCCCATGCTGTTTGTCATGTCACATGTTGAGCATCTCTCTGTCCCAGGCAAGATGCTGGGAACTTTCTATAAGTTGCCAGCCTGTTTAATCCTCAGAACTCTGCATCTGGGGTATTTTCCTCCCATTTAGATATAAGGAAGTTGCAATTCAGAGAGGATCAACTATCTGGTGATTCGAAGCAGTTGATTCTAAGCAGTGCCATAGATGGGAATTGAATCCCAGATCTGAACCTAGGTCTAGATAGCTGTCAAGCAATTATTTCCCATCACTCACTGGAAGAGTGTTTTCAGATGGACTTTAAGTGTCTTCCAAGTTTAAGAGAAAGAGAAACCATCTCATGCTAATCTGAAGCTATAGGATTTGTCATTGTCAAGATGTGAGAACAACCAGAGTCGTTAGTTCTTATCTCCAAGGATGTAATCTTCCCTGGAGTGCAGTGGCACGCTCATGGCCATCGCAGCCTCGACCTACTGGGTTCAGGCAATCCTTCTGCCTCAGCCTTCTGATTACCTGGAACCACAGGCATGTACCACCATGCCCGGATAATTTTTCTTGATTTATTGTAGAGATCAGTTCTCGCCATGTTGCCCAGGTTGGTTTCGAACCCATGGGCTTAGGCAATCTTCTCACCTAAGCCTCCCAAAGTACTGGGATTATAGTCGTGAGCCACTGCGCCCAGCCTAGGTAGTTTATATATATATATATATTTTTTTTTTTTTTT